CTCATATGATAAGCTCCGTTCGACAAAGTCGACAGCGGAGCTAAAAAGCTTATAAATAACTCCCATGTGCATAGTATAAGAGCATCTATGTGCCAAATTTCATTCAAATGTAATGATTAGTACTTGAAATATCAGATGAAAAGCCCAAAAAATACTAATTATGCAAATTAGTAATAAATATGCATGAATATTAAACAAAAAGAAGTGTGCATTGTCCTATACATTTACATCTATGAACAAAGTTTCATTGTAATGTAGAGGCAAGTATTTGAAATATCAGTGGAAAAGCACAAATCGACTAATCACTATGCAAATTGTTGATTAATATGCAGGGTTTTCAAACAAAACTAATCAGGCCTGTGCAGTGTCCCAGACCATCTATGTATTCTAGTACATTAGAATTACAAAGAACAGTCATGAACAGCCAAAAAATAGCTAATTATGCAAATTAGGTAATTAATATGAATGAATTTAACCCGAACCTAATCAAATCTGCAAATTAGCCCAGAGCATCTATGCATCAAGTTCTTGAGATATCATTGATGGGGTTCGTATGATAATTTCAATGAGTTTGTATGATAATTTCAAAGGTTTTGCATGATAATTTGAAGAGATTTGAATAAGAACACGCCTAGAACATGTTTGACATTTGATTCCACATACATGTAGATGGCAAGACAGGAATGAAATGTGTTGCCATTAAAACTCACATTACAATTGTTGTCAACTTTTTATATTTTGATATCCTGATAAAATATACACACTGCCAACATTTCTGACATATTGTGGAACACACACACACACCCACATGTATACATACAGACGCACTAACTAAAAAGACTCCCATTATGTGGGAGTCAAAAACATAATTTAAAATTTCTGTTTATACTATGCATTTGAAAACAATAAATTCTGGCGACCAACAATTTTTGGGGTTTGCGTGATAATTTGAAGAGAATTGAATAATAAATGGAATTGGTTTGTTTGATAATTTGAAGGGGTTTGTGCAATAATTTGAAGGGGTTTGCGTGATAATTTGAAGGGGTTTGCGTGATAATTTGAAGGGGTTTGTGTGATAATTTGAAGGGGTTTGCGCAATAATTTGAAGGGGTTTGCGCGATAATTTGAAGGGGTTTGCGTGATAATTTGAAGGGGTTTGTGTAATAATTTGAAGGGGTTTGTGCGATAATTTGAAGGGGTTTGCGTGATAATTTGAAGGGGTTTGTGCAATAATTTGAAGGGGTTTGCGCGATAATTTGAAGGGGTTTGCGTGATAATTTGAAGGGGTTTGTGTAATAATTTGAAGGGGTTTGTGCGATAATTTGAAGGGGTTTGCGTGATAATTTGAAGGGGTTTGTGCAATAATTTGAAGGGGTTTGCGTGATAATTTGAAGGGGTTTGCGTGATAATTTGAAGGGGTTTGTGTGATAATTTGAAGGGGTTTGTGCAATAATTTGAAGGGGTTTGCCAGTGTAGGAAATTTGTCCAGATTACATACCAGACATCAGGGCTGGTAACTTTCAAAAGTTACAAGCCCTGCTAAAATGTTACCAGTTCCGCACATTTTTTTCAATTATTTTCGCA